CTACTGTTGCCTTGTCATTTTTATTTATTTGTTCAAATGAATATGTTTCTTCCTTGTTCAAATGAGTACCTTACTTTCTTGCAGGCACGGTGTATCTGCATTAGAGTTTGATAATCAGGTATTATATGGACCAATATCATATATTCATATCTCAAGTTGTTTCTCAAATTCTGGCTAGATGGATGTATAACTGGAAATATTATTGTTATTATCCTCTACTTTAGTTCCACGTGTTACTTGAAATATCTTGTTCTTTCATCGGTACAGAACTCACGCGAAACATTGCTAATGGGACCCATTGCACCTGTTTCATCAACCAAAGCACAAAGGTGTTGTTGATTATGTCATAGCTTAGAGTGATATATTTTAGAAAGTAAATAACATGAATATTTCAGGCTGTTTAATTGGAATTTGGATAGACTAGCTTATGCTATTGTGTGATAGGCCCTTGTAAGGACCTTTCATGCTATCTTATTGAAGTTTGGATGTTAGATGCATATGATGGACTGGCCTATGCTTATTGTGTGATAGCCCTGATAGGCCCTTGTATCCAGAACTGAGCCATATACTTAAAACTTAGTTTTTAAAAGTATCTTTTACTTTGCATGGTTTTAGTTATAATTTCCAGTTACTAGCATTCTTTTTTTCTTTTTAAATAAAATAATTTCTGTGGTTTTCTATTTTCTTATTTGCTCTACAATAGGGAATATACTTAGCTTCGGTGACAAAATCTGGTTGCTTGATGGTGCACGACTTTGAATCTCTTTACTGCCAAAGTAATGTGACATCACCATGTAAGGTTCTGATAAACTTTGGTCAGTTGACTTATACTCAAGTTGTTTCTGTGATGAGGTTATAATTTATGATTTTATGCTGTAAGAGGTCAGGTTCAGCTCTCATGTAGTCATCTTCCAATTGAACTCGTTCATCTGAACATTGTCTCTCCTCTCTCCCCTGCTCTGTGCTTCATGTGTTGTGTATTTTTACTACCTTATACAGAAACTTGATTATCTATCTGCAGGGTGGAAGGAGGATGAAACAAAGCATCTTTTGCACATATCTACAAGAAGGCATCTTGATTCTGTTCGATGGAATCCTGCTAACCAAGACGAGGTTGAATATATACATGATAGATGCATTGTTCTGGCATTTATCAAATTTGTGTTGGATGGATGCACTAACATGAACCAAAGTTGTTCTATGCTGGGCCTTACTCATTGCACTAAAAGCGAAAGTTGTGTGTTTCACTGCTTTATATCCTATGATTTTTAGTGATGCTTTTAAGCACAAAACCTCATACCACATGCTTACATTTTAAGTGGAAAGCATTGCATGACTGTTTTGCTAATTCACATAATGTTGGTTGGCATACTCTGTTATCTGCTTAATTTCTTCTTGGATTTGACATTTGCTGTGGTTTAACTGATTTCTACCTATGCTCTTAAGGACAAAAACTCAGAACACATGCAACATTCTATTTGGAAAGCATTGCATGACATTTTGCCAATTAACTTAATGTTAGTTAACATATACTATTATCTGCTTATTTTTTTTCTTGGATCTGACATTTTCTATTGCAATGGGCTTCAGGTTGCTTGCACATCACTGAAAAGCCGTGAAGTATTAATTTATGACATTGGTTATGTCTCTTCCGACCCTGTTGAAGTAAGATTCAAGTGCTCTTCCCTTTACCTTTCTCTGCCGAGGTTTCCAATATCCCAATCTTTCAAAGATGTTTTTTGTATTATAGTTTGTGCAATATATCAATTTAATGATGTCTTGTTATGTCCTTTCTTTATTTCATTCTTTCTTTCTTTCTGTTTTTGTAAAAACCCTTGTTATTGAATCAAAGTCCAGTGTTAGTGTAAGCTCTACCTATGATACTAGTGTCTCTACTCATTCAGATTTTAACAAAGAGGGCTTCTGTCACTATCCATGGTTCTGATATCGTGACGGGTCTGTCAGATGTAGCTTTTACATCAGATGATTCCAGGTGAGTTGATGTGTGGCTTAATTTCTAACAAGTCCATGTTTAGAGAAATTTTATGTTCGAAGTTTCTTTTCCCCTGTCTAGGCCTCTCTCCAGACCCTATCTTGATTGATATTGTATCGGGTTGTTTGTTTAGTTTGGTGTCCTATCTTTGTTGGCCTTTTGATTCCCCCCATGGGTGAGGCTGGGAGTCACCATTAACTAAGATGTCAATTTAGGGAGTCCACTGTCTAATTATGAATCTCTTGCCACCAGTAGCTTCAGGAAGGGTGTTTAGTTTTTCTCTTGTAGTCTGAGGCAGTGAGGCTCACATGAGCTGTTACTGCAACTAGAATTAGTGACCGTCAGATCAGAATAAGGCAACTTTATTTTGTACAGGGTTCAGTGGTTCACACCAACAAATTTGCTGGTCGACATGTGCTTTTTTACTAAACTATCTCTTCCTGGTTGAAGTATTGGACTAATTGCTTCTATTGTGCTCTATGATATTGACAGAGTTTTTGCTTCGGATACCTCTGGTTCAATCAATATATGGGATAGAAGAAGAGGTAGTTTTCCATCTGTTGAGCTGACAACCAATTCCCACAATGCTCTGAACAGTATACAATTGAATGTCGAAAATCAGGTCTGTTTAGAATTTTCTGGCCCTTACGTTTGTATTATTGTATGTTCCCAATGATCCACATAAGACATGAAATCCTCAAATTTATATTTAGTTTTTGGATTGTTTACTGTAGCATTATGCTGATGTTGAAAATTGCTAGATTTGAAAAAAACTGCATGACGAATGATATATTTACAGAAGAATTATGTGTGTTACTGAATACGAAGTATATTATATTGATCATCAGGAGCTATTGTACTTAGTTCGGTACACTTTGAAGAATCTCCAAAAATCTGAACAGAAAACTTTGCATATTGGACTGGAGGAGGGAGAGAGGGGGGGGGGGGGAGGGGGGATGACCGTGCCATGGAACTAGAAATTGGATGTAGGTTCATAGTTATTGATTTATGGTGTTGATACAGTTGTAAAATAATCAGTAGTATGAGTTACACCTTTTGAGGCACTCGAGTCGTAAACTCATAACATGATCAACCTTAATACTGTACAAGTATCAAAGTGCAGAAAGTGTGCGATATAAGTGATTTACTTATATTATGTAAAAACAAGTTTAAGGATCTGAGAACTTAAGAGACTAGTAACTGATCTAGTTGTGTTTACTCAAAAAATATGATCAACCTTAATACTGTACAAGTATCAAAGTGCAGAAAGTGTGCGATATAAGTGATTTACTTATATTATGTAAAAACAAGTTTAAGGATCTGAGAACTTAAGAGACTAGTAACTGATCTAGTTGTGTTTACTCAAAAAATAAAAAATAAAAATTGATCCAGTTGTATTGTCATACATGTGACATTGGTGGTTGTAACTTGTAAGTATGGCTTCTGATGTCTTTTAGGGTCCGAACCTATTCTGTTCATGTATACTTCGTTAGTTCATTATTTCTTCCATGTGGTCCCTTCAAAACCCTAATTGTACTTTACTGGTTTCAGATTGTTTATGGAGCTGGTAAGCAGGCATGATATATATGTGGGATCTTCGTGGTGGAAGAACATCAGCAGCTTTCCAGAGCAATAAAGAGGTTGAGCAAAAAACAGCTTCCGATGTCAATCCCCCCCAGTTTTTTTTTGGCAATGTGGAAATTAATAATTCATTGCAGACTCACAATTATTCTGATCCTTAATTTTCATGGAACCACGATAATTGTATGTTGAAATGTTACCTAGAATAATACTTTAGGTCATTGAAGTACTGGCAAAGGGGACACATTGTGAAAGAGGATTTTTGTGGATTAAATTGGTGATTATCAGATGGGGCAGCTTTAGTTTATGCCGTGACTGATCTTGTAGACAGACGGAAGATAATACAGAGTAGTCTTTTGATCATTGTAGTCTAATTCATGCTGTTTTTTGTGTCACATATAGGCATATCATCCACCTATGGCATCAGTGAAGGTCTCATCGTTGCTAGAGAAAATAAAGTCATTAAAGGTATTCAAAGAGGATACATCTTAAATTGCTGGGAGTGTAATCTGCATGCTGCTTTCTTTTTCTCAATCTTGTGCAACTATTACAAATTTGCATAAAGGAGATTTTTGAAATTTGTGTTAACATGAAATATGTGTTAACATGGATGCACATCTTTTTTACTTTTGCTAAGATTGAAATATAACAAATGAGGATTCTATTTGTTGAAACTTCTTAGAGCTCTCATCCATTTCTTGTGTTTCATATTTCTTTGCAGGCGCAGTCACATATTGTCCCCAAGGATATACACTCGATCAATTTGGATCCCACTTCTTCTTATCGTTTAGCATTCCACCTTGATGATGGATGGTAGATTTTTAGATAGTCATCCTGTCTCTGGATGAATTTACAACTTTTCAAATTTTGATTGTTATATCCATCACTCATGTCCTTCATAGTTTTTTCAACAGTTACCTAATTATTACTATGTGATGAAGAAGATAATCGTTGACTCTGTTCTAGAATCATTTAACTTGACCTTGAATAATAGCTTACTTCGACCTTACTATAGCATTTTCTCATAATAATTTGAAAATTTGCAGGTCAGGCATTCTTGATATCCATACATTAGAAGTGACACATATCCATTGCCCTCCACCAGCCTGGTTGTGAGTACATCTCCCCAACCAAGTTGCAGAGACATTAAAATTTCTTTTAATGGCCATTTTCTTATTCATTTTGAAATTCAGGACTGGCTCAGACATATCCAATTTATCGTACCTTATAAAGCCGTCCTGGCTATCCACAAATTCAGTAAGACTTTCTTTCAATAGATCTGGAGATAAACTTTGCATTTGACATTCCATGAATCTATGTCATGCTCACTGTGTTCTGTAAAAGTAGTTATTTTTATTAGTTTTGATCCAATACCCTCTTTAATCAGATATATGCAGTTGGGTCAGCATCATCAGATAAAGGACTTACACCTTCTAGACTTCTTTCCTGATCCAAATTCTCCCTGCCATGTGGACTGCAGGTACAGAATCTGATTGTATTTGGGTGAATCCTGAATGTTTCTATGGCTATGTTTTGATATTCAATTTCTGTTTACTGCTTAGTGAGGAAATGGTGAATAGTTCCAGGCAAAACGGTTTTGTTCCTCTGTCTGAAGATGTTTCTGCTTGTGCTACACATCCACAAAATGATTTCATTGTAGCTGGCACCAAGGTCTACTCTCTTGTGGTTTGCTTTTTTAATTTTCTGTAACTGTCCATGGTTACTTTATTAATTATAACCAAGAACTTGAGAGATTTGTCGCGTTGTGCCTGTTTCTTGAATTAAAGGATCCATTTAGCTCTGAAAGTTTTTCAACATTGACGAAATTTTATTGTTGAACTGCCTGTATGGCATATGACTACATGAGTACCCAAGGGGGGTGAAAAATGGTGCTTTGGTTCGGCCATCTAAAGCATTAGAGATCCCCAATATACTTTTCTACAATTGTTTTATTCAGTTTTCTAATATTTCTGCATTTGTTTGGTTTTAGCAAGCATCTTTGCTTATGATTGGCCAAAGAAAGAAGAGCTTACACGGGATGAAGGTCCTTGAAACAATTGAAACCTTGTGGAAATGATACAAGACTGATTGTCAAGACCTCAAGCAGCAGATCCTTGTCATCATAAACAGCCATGATGCTTTCGAATTTCCGAAAGTCACCTCCTTTGAAAGTGCAAAATGAGCATTGAAGGGTTGAAGTCAGTTGGAGTTCAGGGAAGAATTATCAGCTTCTATTGCCAAAGAAAGTGCAAAATACAAGACTTGATTCATAACTTGGGATTGTGAATCCATCTTGTGCTTCTTCATCATTCGTCCTCCACGTCATTCATCATGTATATTTTTGCATTGTATCAAGCTAACAAAAACTTTGTTGTAACATAAATATAACATGGTTATAGGTTTATGTATTAGGAAAATATAACATGGTTCAATTGCACAAGTAGTTGGAACTTGCAAGATAGTGTAATATTGTTGGAGAAGAAAAAGATTCAAATTATTATTTTTTTATTTATTTTTAATAAAAAAAATTGAAGCATAATTATATGATTATATGACTTTTGCTAAACAAGCTCTTATTGTTTAAACTTGTAATTTGTAAATAAGCTATTGCTTTTCCTTAAAAAAAAAAATAATAATAAAAAAAAAATTGGTAGACAACTTAAAATAAAATGAGAGAAATTAATGGTAAATTAAGGATGTCAAAAAAAAAGAATCAACTAATTAACTACTTACCTCTTTTAAAAGGGAGTCACACCCACCCTATTACCCAAACTCAAATAAAGAGTTTTGAGTCGAGCTCAACTCGGCTTGTTATCACCCCGACCTACGTAACGCATTATATAGTTACTGAGCTAGAACCGGAAGTTGTAACTCTGTAAATTGGGCGGTTCAATCTCGCTGTTTTCTCCCAGTTCCCGCCAAGGTCAGTGTATGAACTGATATTCATCTTCCTCTCTCTCTCCTCTTCATCTATATGCTTCAATAACTTTCGTTACATCTTTATTTTGAATTTTCGTGTTACATGTTACTTTAATTAGGGTTTTATCGATGACTTGTATGATGAACAATTTGAAATTGAAGTCAATTAACACTGAATCATGCTTAGGGTTTATGTTTATGATCCGACGTGATTTTATCGTCATTTTTCATTCTGCTTGAATTTACTTGTATGATACTGAGAACATGTCGAATTTCGGAATTGCGTGTACTTTTTTTCAATCTATGTGTTGTTACTTGTTGTAAATTCAACTGTCGATTGTTGTAGCTGATTATAAGTTTATTGTCATTGTCAATTGATTGATTGTGTTTATTGATGGAAATAATTTGTTATATAGCGTTCTATTGATGCAATTCATGCAATGTTTGCCATTAGTAATGTTTTGTTGGAAAAATCGGCGTGTTTCGATTGTTTTCTTTCATCATGTTGTTAAATATATAGCTTTGTTCAGTAATGTGTGGTAGTTTGTGTATTTTTGGATATCGAATTCTGATTTTGGATGGAAAAGGAATAGAAAGTGATGTAGTGCTACTAATTAATTTGAAACCATATGTAGAAATAATTTTCTAATAAGTTCTTTCAGAATTGGAATTGGGTGGATGTTCCAAGTACCTCGGGTTGTTTTAATTGCTAACAATGGAAATATTTTATGCGCATCTGCCAAATGAACTACTGCTTGAATTTATTATCCAGTCTGATGTGAAGTTTTCTGCCTTTCGGTAGTTCTTATTATGTCTGAACTAGTGAATTTCATTAGTGTCTTCCTCCTGGTTTTCTAGGTTTTGAATAAGGTTGCCGAGTCAAGAAAAGTGGTAGAAATCAAGATGAATTTAACTGTGGTAAGAGGTAAGTGAAATCTGGCTTTAGTTTATTTCCTCTTTTTTCAAGCTATATTGCTGTTTGCTGCTTGTTTTTCAGTGTGTGGGTTTCTGCCAATTTAAATATAATAACTGAAGTATATGTTCATCACACTACTAATTACTTCTATGCTGGTGCTTCGTAGATGACTAACTTCCCACTTTTAGATGTATTAATTAGTCTTCGCTAAGGATTTAAGATTGCGACTGACCACCACAGCTCCTTGTTGGATTTCTTTCTGCTTTGTCTATTTGCTTAACATTTCTTTACTGTGGTGTAATGCCGTGGTTGACACTTTTGAGTTTTGATGCACAAACATGATTCTTCTTGTGAGTGTTGTTCGATATATAATGCAGTCAAATATAGAATTGAATGCATAATATCCTACCAGAAGAGGTAGTATTATAGTTCAGTATTTAAAGTTGCATTCATGTTTCCTTTTGGTTGGTGTAGTTGAGATTTATCCTCTTGTGTAGATCAGAAGGAGAATTATAGAGTATAAAATCTACTGAATTTGTGCCAAGTTTCTCTTAATAATCTCTAAAGATTCAGTTTTCTGTTATTGTCACCTATCATTCATATGCATGATATCACTGATACCCGGATATGCAGTTCTTGGAACCTGCTAAATATAGCACCTACTTGTTTGCTCAAAAATATTTTAATGTGAGTGAGGTGGAGGTATGTAGTATCACCACCAAATATGAATCTGGTGCAAGTAGCTTCCATTTGATTATGCCGGCATTAATTTGGTTTGTGGTTTGTCAACAATTTAGCTAAAGGCTATGCCAAGGCATGGCAAAGAAACCTTGCTGAAAGGCAATACTGTTTAGGTAATGAGTGGTTTTGCTGTTTGTTATGCATTCAATGTTTGCAACTCTTTTTAAATCTGTAAGTTTGGACCGCAGAAATTTTGTCACTTGTCAATCTTTGGGAGGGAAGTATATAAAGAAATTGTCATGTTTGCTTTCTTTCTTTTTTTTTTTTTTTTTTAATCTTTTGTGGTTAATTGGATCAATTTAGCATATAATTATTGTCTTTCATCTGTTTTGAAGATGATGAGTAAACATAACTTTTGGTTTAGCGGAATTCAAGTCTTATAACTGTGATGTCTGTCATTAATTTTTTTCTCTTTAAGATCTATGTAGCTATATTCTTATGGCTAATTGCACTTATTAATCAGTATCTAGGCTATACATTAATACATATGATTATATGAAGGTTCAACCAACATATTTAGACATGTGAAGTTGGTATGCTCTTACGTGTAGTGATAAGTGTTAATCACTTTTGTTTGCAACTAATTGGATCTGTACAGCTGAACTAGTTGTTTATGTGCTTCACCAGTCAAAGATCTTAGCTGCTTCCAAACATCTTTTCTATGTAATTCTTAGATGCATGCTACTCTATATAGTAAGGAACATTGGTAAATCTTTTGGTTTAAGATACTACAGTATGATTCTCTTCACAAAATTGAAACTCCAGTCATGTAGCATGATTATCCGGAGCTGTCCATTTATTAGCACTGAATACTGATGCTATCATACTGTTAAAAGGGAGTTTTGGTTCCTCAATCCTTGCTTACTGATTTTTGGTTGAAATTACATATTCTTAACAGAAATTTGACAAGACTTCTGAATCAGAAAAATCTGCTGCGTCTGGTTATGTTAGATCCTTAACTTTCAATTAACTTAAAATCTTATTGGTGTAGGATAATAATGTGTGCCTTGATCTGAAGGGGCTGTGCTGTGTGTAGTATACTAGTATCAGGGGTTAAGTGTTCGAAGAAATTTAACAAGCTTGGGGTTCAATAATCTAGAAACTATGTGCTGTCAAATTGTTACTTTTTCTTTCTATTTTAAGAAAGGGTCTAAGGGGTAGGATTCACCCCTGCCAGACTGCCATAGGCTGGAACTGTTGAAGGGAGGATAGATGCTGCTCAGATTGTTCTGTGACATTATTTTTACCAAGAGGCTTTACTTCACTACAACCAAAAGTTTCATAAGGATTTACCAATTCATGCAAATAGTGTGAGTTGTGGAAAGGGTAGCCCCAGGTTTTATTCTAATTTAGTGTGTGTGTGTGTGTGTTGGGGGGGGGGGGGTTGGGTTGGTAAAGATCTAATCCTATTTCAAATTAGACATGCATTTATGGTAAAAGCCTCAGATTAAAGAGTTCACCAACTGATTGTATTTGAAACCCATTTTTGTTTTTTTTAAACTTCGATTCTCATATCCCCTCTGTGGAACGAAGGACATAGCAATTTATATTCTATTATTCTTTGTTTTGTGGGTCACTTGCACATCACCGACGATAAAGCATTATCAGAATTGCTAAATCAAATCTGGCAGGCTCCCCTTAGTCATATATAATAAATATCTTGCATCATTGTTAGCATTAAGTTAGGTTTCTTAGATTCCATGATCATGAGATTGTGATTTTGCCTTTGGTTTTAATGCAGGTTTTTGGATATGCCCATAGGCATAGGATCTTCTGTAAGGTATTAAATTTTGATCATTTAATGCCCGCCTAACATCTTTATCTTAATTTTCTTTGTAGAATGGTACATTAAGATACTTAAATCCTATAGTCTCCACGTTAGAAAGCATTTATATCCTAGAAAAGAAATTGTTTTGTTTACGTAGAAAAGTCGCTGTGTTCTACAACTATTGTTGTCATACAACCTGCCAGGGTAACGAAACAAAAAGTTTCCATGTATCATTCTTCTCCATGGTTAGAGTTCAACTAAGGATTAGGGGAGTGATGGTGCCCTTTTATCATAACCAAAAAGGTAATTATTCATGGAAGGGTCAGACTGACTAATTCCAGAGTGCTTTAGAGATGAACTTTTATGTACAAACCTTGATGGTAGTCATTTGCATATATAGTATCATATATTTCGTATTAGACTTGGTCTCTTGGCAAACCCCTGTTAATAGGTAATCAATATTTGAAGTTACAATATCAAGCAGTGTGTCTCTTAGTGACGGCATAAGCGTATTGTTTTGGCCCATGTGAATTGATTTGGCTAAATCACCATACCTCTGCTGTCCTACCTCAATTTACGATTAATTATTGCTACAACAGCTTGAGGAAATAAATATTGGCTGTTACGTCACTGAGTATGTGTGAGAAACTTTGTGAAGTGTGAGCTTCTTTTGGTTAAAGCTTCCTTTAAGAATAAGCAAGGTAAGGAATACGAGTAACACTATTTGGTAGACTAATGTATTAAAGTACTCGTGTTACTTTTATTAATTGTGTCTAGAGGGATAAACATTCTGGAGAATATGACAAGATGCTTTATCCATTGTCAAACTTCAAGTATTATATGCAACTTTATGAATGGAAATATGCAAGATTATTTCTCTGCTAAACACTGATGTCAGTAGTTTCTCTGATTCCATTTCAGGAAATGAAAATAAGACACTTGTTCTTTGAGTGATTTCTTTTTGTCATGCCTTACAAGGAGGCATCATTTAGTGGAGGTCATTCTTGAGTGGTATCGTGGTGATTGAGACATGTGCTTCATGTCCATCTAGTGCGTGCGGAGATTCTAGGAAGGAAACTTGCCCATTACTTAAAGTTAATGACAAGTATGATACTAAAATGTAGATTAAGAGGCTTTTGAGTAATAAATAATAGCAATCCATTTTTCTTCAAAGGGGTGTGTGCTAAGATCATATGGTAAAACAGTGTTTGCCCATATTCGAGAGCCAATAAAAGTAAAACTGGGACGAGTGGTTGTTTACTATGGGATTTACAACCCTAGTTAGTTGGAGTAATATTTCTAAAATTACGCAAACAAAAATTTTACATCTCAACACCAATGTTCCAATATTACATTGTTTCTCTAGTTTTTGCAAGTTTCCTTTTCTTGTTTTCAGTATCATATTTTTGGGCTGCATATTTCTTTATGTAGAAATATTATCTTTCAATTTGCAAAGTTACACTTACAGCTCAGGAAAAAAGTTTGAATGATACCAGTTATGTATTGTATTAAATGCAATGCGTTGGATAGCTAACTGATTTCTATTTTATATGACAGATGATACTACAGGACAAAGTCGGCTAACCATCAGTGAGGAATCTCTCCCCACATTCTCGGAATAGTATAATAATCACTACATGCCTAATTTCTACACATAATGATATGTGTACACGTGGATTGTTGCCTATACAATTGCTTTTGGCATCAAATGGATCTAGATCTTACCTAGGAGACAATAGTGGTACTTTTTTTTTTTACCTTCCTTCCATACCCTGATTATGTAAAGCATACTCTATTGTCCATCTTTTCTCTCTTTTCCTAACTTTAATTTGTGATCTTGTATTTCAGTGAAAAAAGAGGAGAATCAGCCCACCATGGGTTTCTGTTGTCTTTCCACCGCAGCTTCTGTACTGTTAGAGCAGTCTTTTCGTAGTTCGTTGGCTGGCATCAACTATCTTGAGCAGGTACACTTTGCTCGATTATCAGCGAGGTTCTGGGGATTAATTCATCAAAAAATGAAAACTTATGAGACAGGACAAAGTCATATAATAAACGAACTCAATGTTAGGGGACTAAGACTAACAGGGAGTGAATATCCTTAGTACCCTTACGGGCCTTAACGAAATGTTGATAGGGTCTATACACTATAAACATCATGCTCCATGTTACTTACATAGGGAGTAATTGTTGGGAAATTAAAAAGACATATATTAAATGCATTTTGGCCAACTTTTTTAACTTTAAATCGTACAAAAGAACTTTTAAGAGACATTTAGAAATTGCTTTTGAAGGAAAGGTGGATCTTGTGAGGTTTGTTTTTGTGGGAAGATGAAAATATAGATAAGAAAAGTGCTCACATATTAAGAGGGGACCATAATTTGTAGCTTTTTAATTTGGCAAAATCGAAAATTTTCCTCCCTAATTTTTGCTAAATAAAGCAATTTACATTCGTATTCTAGAATTCATTTACAAGTCTGAAATTGATCATTACCTCAACATGCTTCTGAAGGTCTTTGATATAATCAACAGCCAAATCTAGCATGTCTGCTGTGTTTGTTTGCTGCATGGAAACAGTATTTTGATTGTGTTGAGTCAAAAATACAATCAACTAGCACTGTCTCTTCAGAGGGAGTGTAATTTACACTAATATATTTTAACATAGGGACTAACCTTATCCATGTTGGGAACTAGATCTTGAAGCTTCCTCATCCTTTCACTAATCCTAGTTCTTCTTACCTATAGATTAGTATCAAAACCATTGTATGTAATCTTGAATGATATGTCTAAAACTATAATCAAATAGGAGTATTAATAAAACACTAATCCAATTTTGAAAGTAAAATCAGTTCTCACCCTCTCAGCAATGCTTCTTGGGTGAGTGGCGCATCCTCTCTTAGCCCTGATTCTGAGAGGTGTTGAGTCTTGGAACTGCAGGAATTTCTCCATATTTGACAGTTCTGGTAATGTCTTTGGTAGACTCAGATGATGAGTCAATGGCGGAGGTCTGTTTTTAATTTCTCCACTCTGAGAAATAACCCAATTCATAATATATTAACTATAATAAAACCTCTTATTAAAGAGGTAAAATCATAGGAGAGAAGATTTTATACCTGATTTTCTGATGCATTTAGCTCAGGAAATACCTTTATGTCCTCATCTGCAACTCTATCTAAGCCTGAGAAATTTTCTGACAAAATTGAGTCATCCCATGAATTCATGGGGAAGTCATAGTTGCTGTCATCGTTGGGGTTGTTGCTTGAATTGCTGAATTTTGTTTCATCTAGGCTATTCATCCTTAATCTTTTTGCCCCAACATCTGAGTTTTGATTCACCAGTTCCGAAGTTGAAGAGGGTTGTCCCGATGAATAATTTACTTGAACATTACTACCTCCATAACTCCCCATTCCTCCCATCATGCCATAACCTGTCATATGCTATCTACTTTAATACGAAAGCTGAAAAAAGCAAAGCTTGAAAATTGACTGAATTTCAGATCTGTGTGAAAGGCGGTCAAGTTTATGTTTTTTTTTTTTTTTTTTTTTTAATAGTTAAACCAATAACCAAGAGGGAACAGAAGAGTACCAGTTGTATCAATGTTTAGGTTGGCGAAAAATCCAGCGGGGGAGCTGCTATGCCTTGTGAGCCGGAATTACTATTGTTGATGCCCCCACCAAATCCAGTCTTCATATGGGATATAGAATCTATCCCCATTGAACTAGAAGCTGCTGCCCTAAATGTGTTTTGCATTGCTGAACTGACTGCTGTATTGTGGTGATTTGACAAAGGTGGTTTTGATTGGCTATGATACATCATCTGAGATTGATTGTTGTAATTACCCTGTTGGTGCTGCTGCTGCGGCTGCTGCTGGTGCTGCAACTGTTGTTGAATATCCGTTTCTTGCTTAACCCTCACTGTAAACTCAGGTTGCACAGCCGCGTTTTCAGGTATGTTGCTTAGTTTTTGTGATGAGTTATCTTCTTCGTCGATGCTGTTCATGAACCTGGCAAAGATGCATTCTGTTTCAGGACTTAGTGGTCTAGCAGCCGGAAAGTCTCGCCCTCTCCTCCTACCGTGCCACTAACACCACCTGTGGCAGTGGCAGTGGCAGTATCAGCAGCAGCATCAAGAAAACTTGCAAAGTATGAGCTCGGCGCTGATCGGAAGCGAGTGAGACCGTTGGTTTGTTGCTTTTGCTGGTGAAACTGTCTTGGGAAATCTTGGAAATGATGTTGGTATTGCTGCTGCTCTGAATCCATCTCTCTCTCTCTCCCTTTATTCAGACCTCAGTTATCTTTAATTTTCCCTTGTTCTAGATACCCTCCTTAGTAAAAAAAAATATAAATGCAAAAAACACAGGAAAACAGGGTAAAATAGAACCCAATTCGACCTGATCACATAGTCATACCATATCTATACCTACAGACTTGTGGCTGAAAACAAAACACTTTGGGCAAGGAATTTTACATGTGAACCCAATGAAAAGCTAGTGAATAACAAGCAGAAAACACCAACCCACCTTTTCTTTCCACCTCTCTTTTCTCTCTGAGCTGCAAATCTGTTTTTCTGCAGTAATCTATTACTCTGTCTTTCTCTACCTTTCTTTAGCTCTTTTGCTACTACTGAAGATTATGATTACTATTATGAAGGGGAGGGTAGATGCTGGTGTAAATGATCAAGACAGAAAAATAGTTGACATAAACCAATTTTTTTTGTTTTGTCTATTAAGAGTAGCATTTGCTTTT